CGGGCAGTTTCATTGACCCTGGCGGCTGCGAGATTATGGCGACGCTCTCTCGGGTACAGTTTGGTGGGACTGGGCCCAGTTTTATCCCCCTCCCGCCTCCCCCCATCATGAGCGGGGAAAGATTCGCTCCCGAGAGGACTCGCTGGGCAGGCCAGAATGAAGGCCACGATCCTGTGCAGGCTCTCTTGGCGAGCGGTTCTACCACCCTTGAAATCCTCCTGTCCACCCCTGGGGTTCCGCCGGGAGAGAGGAGAAGCCCGATCCCCCGCCTCCGAAGTAGGCCTCAGCGTTTTCAAAACTTTACTCTGCCATTCGACACCCACCGGTTTGGGACCACAGCGAGGCTCGCTTTTGAGCAAAGGCTGGTAAATTGCGAGGCGACGGTGCGAGCCTCTGCGGGGCCGTTCCAGACCCAGGGAGTCACTCCGTACAGGGATGCACGGCGGCAGGACTGCCCGTGGAAACCAAGGGGGACTTCTAAAATGGTGCATTTATGGTTGCATCGTGTGCCCTGCCTGCCCCCCCCCCCCCTCTGTGTCTGCCTCAACACACACACACACACACACACACACACACACACACACACACATATTAAAAAATCCTGCGTGCAGAGGTATGTCAAGAAGAGGGGGTGGAATGGAATGGAATTAGGTCCCCGTTTGCGAATCCCCACTCACTGAAAAGCCAGCTGTACGCAAACAAGGACCTTACGGCTCTACCGTCAATATTTGCTGAAGACCGTCCGGGATAAACTGCGTCGAAAATACCGGCAGATCCCTCCTTGGGTTCTCTTATAAACGAGGGAGAGGGGAGTTATTTTCCAAGGATCAGATCCAGAGCGGCGCACGTGGAGAATTTAGAGCCTAAGAATTTGCAGTGCCCAATCCTGGGAAACCACACCGAGGGGTCATTTTAGCCCTGTTCTCTGCCCGCGATCCACCAGAGATCTAGGCGTCCAGGAGACCCTACACACACACACACACACACACACACACACACACACACACACACACACACACCAGTGTTCCCTCTAAGCTGAGTTAGTGTGAGCTAGCTCACGGTTTTTTAGCCTCCAGCTCACACTTTTTTCGTCTCAGTTTAGGAAGGATGGTTCCAGAGCAAACTAATTTATGCAGTAGCCAAATCGCTGGCTCACGACTTTAATGCCAGGAGCTCACAAGGGTGAATTTTTGCTCACGAGACTCCACAGCTTAGAGGGAGCATGAGATACACTGCTTTTATATAAACTTAGGTTTCGTCCTTCTTCCCAAGTACAGCATTGCAACCGAAAAAAGCAAAAATAGAAAACAATTCAGCTCGAGGGAGTCGTGGGTCGTCTTGTGAATAGCAGGGAAATTCCTGCCGTGGATTGATAGCAACATGTCATCTCCCTCGGTTAAAAATAAATACATTCCTGGGCAACATTTGCACCGGGACCAATCGCAAATCGTCCTTTCTTACGGAAATATTTAAAAGGGCTCCTCCTGGACCACACAGCAGATACAAAACACACACCTTTTTTAAAAGAAAAAGAAAAATACATTTCATAACGAGCTGCGTCCAGTTCTAAATTTAAAAAAAAAATATGAGCAAGGAGGCCGAGAGAATTTATTATCCTGGGTCCTCTTCCTTCCGCTTATTAACTGGAAGAGGTGAGACTGCCGCTTCCCACTTCAAGATAAAAATTTTTACGAGGCTGTGCTGCCTGTCCGCCTTGACCTTCTCCCCTTCGGAGCCGTGTAAACACCCGCCCTCGGAAGGCGCTCTCGGCGTGATTCCCCGCCCCACAAGCCCCAAAACCCACCCGCCCAGACCACGACGAAACGCAGAACTTGTCCTTACAGAAACACCCAGAGCATACTTGTGTGATGTTTGGAAAACAGGGGTGGGTGGGGGGGAGGAGAAATCTCTCTATTCTTCGAACACAGGCCTATAAACGTGTCCTGCTTTCCCCTGAAGGGGATTTGATTTCATTCCTTAAGGGGGGGGGATAAATATATATTTTTACAAGGATCCCATTAAAGGGCCGTTGGCAACAGAAGTCCCAATGAATCGCGGGAAGGCAGGAAAACACCAACCCGTCCCTAAAGCCACGTTTCACCAGAGCGCCGGGAAGACGCCGAGCCGAGTCCGTGTCCTGGCGGCCTGGGGAAAGGGTGTCTGATACAAGGATATTGCGGCAATGGAGGCCAGACAGGGCGATCAACAACGCAGCCTGGTGGGATTTTAAGACACCCCCCCTCGCTCTCAGCCTCCAGGTATTTCCTCAATGGGGGGGGGGGAACCCTTTACAGACCAAACCACCAAAGTTAGAAAGCAATACAGGAGGACGAGTCACCGGATCCGAGGAATGTTGACTTAGAAATAAGTCCCCACAAGTTCCATAGGAACTTCCTCGCCGTGCAAATGGAAACGGCAAAGACCACGTGAAAGCCCTTTTTGTGTGTGTGTGTGGGGGTGTCCGGGTGGAGTCTTTTATTGCATTCATGAGACCACTGACGCCCCCCGGCTAAATGACATTGGGGGGGGGGGGACGACACGCGCTCCGGGAAGGAGTGATTTATACCTCGTGACACGAAGCGCAAACCGGTTTGGGGACTGGATCGTGGGACTGACGCTTGAAGGGGAAGCAGGTCGCCGCGACAATGGGACGGAGGATTTTTTTAAAAAAGAAAATGCAAATCGAGTCTACGGGAAGCAGCGAGAGGACACGAGCACTTCTTCGGAAGGGCGAGCGTTTAGACACACACACTCCCCACCAACTCCAACTGGTATCCAGGCGTTATTTATCGCCGCCGCCGCCCTGTTCCCAACAATAACTCACACCTAGTTTGAACCTGAAGGCCTTTCCTCGGTTTCCCGTCAGAATTTCGAGGAAATCTCTCGCATTCCAACCAACCTAAATCTACTGTATTCGACGCGCTCAAAAGTAACCAAGTTGGGACTTCTGAGAAACAAGCGTGGCAACATTTGCGGAGGGGGCGGGCAGGCAGCGGATTACACCCCATGGATCAAAGGGGATCCCTGGATCAAAGGCGAAGCCGATACGCCTTCTTTTTAAAGCGTCGATTGAGACGTGTCTGTATCAATGAATTATTAACTGCATCGTGAATGAAGTCTGTGCGGGAAGGAAAACAGGAGAGGGCAGGAGGAGAAACCCTTGGCGGCAGTGGACGGATGAATGAATAACTCCCGGGACACAGACGTCTCGGATTTTATTCAACCCCAACGCCGGGCAAAAAGGGACCCGGGGCCAACGCTCCCTCTAAGCTATGGAGTCTTGTGAGCAAAAATGTCCCTTTCTGAGCTACTGGTATTAAAGTTGTGAGTGAGTGATTTGGCTGCTGCATCAATGAGTTTGCTCTGGAGCCACCTCTTCCTGAGGGAACACCAAAATCTGCGAGCTGGAGGCTAAGAAACTTTGAGCTGGCTCACACTATTTCAGCTTAGAGGGAACACTGCCCCAGGGCGACGGGGAAGTTCAAGGCGTCCCACAGCCCGGACTCCGACCCTTATGCGTCGCCAGGGGATCTGTGCATCGGGGCTTGACCTCTCGAGAAAGCTGAACTTGCAAACAATGCTCCCTCCAAGCTGTGGAGCCCTGTGTGCAAAAATTCAACTTTCTGAGCTACTAGCATGAAAGTTGTGAGCGGGCGGTTTGGCTGCTGCATCAGTTAGTTTGCTCTGGAGCCCTCCTTCCCGAGCTAAGACAAAAATGGGTGAGCTGGAGGCTAAAAAACTGTGAGCTGGCTCACACTAACGAAACTTAGCGGGAACACCGCTTCCAAAAACGACGTGTTAACCCTGCGATGTCCGCGGGACTCCTGTCGAGGCAAAGGGAGCCGTAGCCTCAAATCGAAAGCAACTCCGAAGCGGGGACCGAAAGGGAGCGAGAAGCCGGGCTGTTTTCTTAACCCCCCGCGACCCCCTCTGGCTGGGGAGGAAGCGCCGCCGGGACCCAGCGGGCAGGAGGCCAAGGCAAATCCCGCGAAAGAGCGACAAGACTGGGTTTTCCACGCGCATAAGGCAAGCGGGGTCCCGCCGGCCGACGCGACCGAGGAGCTGAAAGTCTCTCGGCTTTCCGGGACAGAGCGGAGCGCCTGCGGGAATCCTTCGCCCCGAAACCAGTGGAGGGGCTCGCAAGCGCAGTTCTCTCCCAGCCGAAAGCCCTTGGAAAGCGCCGGGTTTAGACGGGGGGATCGCTCGGTTCGCTGCCCGGGAAAGAGGCGCCTCTATCGGAAGGACACTGATTCTGGTCCCGGCCACACGGCGAATTTGCCGCGGGAGAGGTTTAGTCTGCTGCAGCAAACAGGACGGGAACGAGTCAACTCGGCTATGGCGGCCCTGGGAAGACTCAAGACTTCTTTCCAGCAGAAGGTCGCGGGGACCAGGCGCCCCCCGAAGCCCCCCAGGACGGTTTCTGAGCAGGTTTCCCAAAGCTTGTGCGTTTCAGTGGTCTTCCGGCCCTGGGATACCGCTGCGGCGGAGGAGCGCGCCGTCCCGGGGCCACCGCAGGCCTGTCGGTGTGGGGCAGGAGCAGGGCCGTGGGAAAGGCATTTCCCCCCGCCGGGGGTGCGCGCCGCTGCATGAGACTTGAGCCAGGTTCTGAGCAGAGCTGCTTAGGGTGGCGCTGGGACTAGAGCGGGCCGCCCCTCCAGAAAGGTTTCCTTCCGCTGACAGGTCTTGCACACACACACACACACACTCCCCAGCCTAAGGACGGAAGAGCTGCCCCCTAATTTCCCTCGGCACCCCCAGCAGAGAGCAACCCGGACAAGGAGCGCCGCCTCGGGGGCTTGTTTCCGAGGAAGCCCACTGGCCTGTCCCTCCTGAGCCTCCCGGTCCTCCCCTGGAGTTCTGGCCTGGGGAGGGGGGGACAAAAGCTCTCGGCGTCCCCTCTCCACCCGGGGCCTCATTTCGCAAACCTAACCCTCCCCTTTAGTCAGTCTCTTTCCTAGACCGGGAAGTCCCCGGACCCCGGGAAGGGGGAAGCCACTGACCTGCCGGCCTTGGTGACGATCATCTCGGTGCCCAGCTGGTTGAACTCGTCCCAGAGCGCCTTCATCTCCAGCTGGACGCTGACGTTGGCCACCTTGGGGTTCTTCTTGATGGGCGCCTTGGAAGCTGAGGATGGAGCCTGCTGGGGAGGTGGGCCAGGATGGTGCTGCTGCTGGGCAGCGGCGCAGGGCTCGTAGTGGTGGGACCCAGAGCGCCTTCATCTCCAGCTGGACGCTGACGTTGGCCACCTTGGGGTTCTTCTTGATGGGCGCCTTGGAAGCTGAGGATGGAGCCTGCTGGGGAGGCGGGCCAGGATGGTGCTGCTGCTGGGCAGCGGCGCAGGG